AACCCCAGACCCAAACCTCCACCAAAAAAACCCTCGCATCCCCTTTCTTGTAATGTTAGGAGATGAGGTATTATGTATGCAAATGTGCCTGTGCATGATCGTTTGTGCTTACGTACAAACGTTTGTAACACTCTCACGCGTGTATATTGCGCTGGCGCTTGCGCATGTTATACGTATAGTATATATATAATTATATATATTATATGCGTGTGTATGGTGTGGATGTTTCGTGTGTTGGGTGTGTGTGTGTGATGTGTGTTATGTTGTTTGTTTGCTTTGTGGTGTGTGTATGTGTGGCGTGGTGTTGTGTCGATCTGTCTGTCTGGCTGCTCTGTCTGTCCGATGTGTAGTGTGTGTGTGTGTGTGTGTGTGTGTGTGTTGTGTAGTGCGTGTGCGTGTGTGTGTGTGTGTGTGTGTGTGTGGTGTGTGTGTGTGTGTGTGTGTGTGTGTGTATGCAGTGAGTTATTGTGTGTGTAGTGCGTGTGAGCGTATGTGAGTGTGTGTGTGGCGTGTGAGCGTATCGTGCGTGTGTGGCTGAGTGTGTGTGTGTGTGTGTGTGTGTGTGTGTGTGTGTGTGTGTGTGTGTGTCTCGAAATCAATCAGACTAGCCGTGTGTGAAAAAGGCAGCCAATCAATCACGCTAAATATTCCTAAACACACGTCGACAGCTGCTATCGACGCCGTGACGGCTTAGGTCTCACATGCGTGCGAAACTGACAAATCAATCCCAGCGCGACATTAAACCTCGACCCATAAACGGGACACGACTCACTGCCATCCACCGACATATTCTCTGTGATGCTATCTTCTCGCCGTTAGATGTTTTCTGTGAGACGATGTTTCGTTGTTGAACACGATCTGTAATTACGCCGTATATGTGAAAAATGTATGAGTGAAAAATGTTGTTACTACAATAGACCACGAGACAGGTTCCAATCCCCACTCAATGTTTGTTACTACAATAGAGCACGAGAAGACCGTTCCAATCCCACTCATGTTTGTTACTACATAGAGCACGGAGACAGCGTTCCATCCCCACTCACTTTGTTACTACAGATAGAGCACGAGACAGCGTTCCAATCCCCACTCAATGTTGTTACATACAATACGAGCACGCAGACAGGTTCCACGATTCCCACTCAATGTTGTTACTACAATAGACCACGAGACAGGTTCCAATCCCCACTCAATTTAATGCTGAATGACTGAACCTCATATTAAATCCTGTGCACGCACGTACGTCTACGCGTGGACCCAGTTTCTCTCGCTCGCACTCTCTCTCTCTCTCTCCTCTCTCTCTCTCTCTCTATGTCTCTCTCCCCTCTCTCTCTCTCTTTCGTCTTTCTCTCTCTCTCTTTCTCTCGTCTCTCTCTTCTCTCTCTCTCTCTTCATCCTTCTTCCCTCTTTCAGTCTTTTCGCTTCCTCTCCAACTTTCTATCTCGCTCACGCTATATTTGTATCTTTTTCCTGCGCTCTCTCTTTCTCAGTTTATCTGACCCTCGCTCTAGTCGCGCGCGCTCTCTCTTACTCTCTCTCTCTCTCTCTCTCTCTCTCTATCTATCTATTCTATCTATCTAGTCTATCTCTCTCATCCTTTAGTTATATCTCTTCTTCTCTAACATTTCCCCCTTCTTATCAGTCTCTCTTTCTACTACTTTCTCTCATCGTCTCTCTCTCTCTCTCTCTATTCTCTCTCTTACTCAGTGTCCTTTCTTTAGAGATTCGACGTTCCTTCGCCTGTCTTCCCTCACTCACTTCCTCAGTCATCTTATCTCTTCTTGTAGGAGGATGGAAGCCTGGCAGGCAACCTGGCGAGCACCTGGTGCGAAGTCGTACATCGGCCGACCTGAAATTACGGGAAGAAGACCGCGAACTACGGCATCGATTGATGTCTATGAGTCAGGGCAGACCTTGCCACGGTGGTGTGTGTGTTGTGTTTGTTTGTTTGTGTGTGTTTGTTTGTTTGTTTGTTTGTTTGTGCATGTGTGCGTGTGGTGTGTTTGTGTGATGGTGTGTGTGTATGAGTGATGCTTTCGTTTGTTTGTTTGTGTGTGTGCTGTGTGTGTGTGTCGCGTGTGTTCTGTGTGTTTGTTTGTTGTGTGTGTGTGTGTGTGTGGTGTGTGTGTGTAGTGCGTGGTGCACGCGTGTGGGTAGTGTGTGCGCCGCGTGCGTCGTGCACGCTGTGTTGTACGCGGGTGTGTACACTATGTATATATCGTAACGCAAAGTTGTGAGACTGATATAGGTAAAATAGGTGCATGATCTCAGCTGTAGAGTGCATGAACCCACCCACCTGGAATGATAGATAAGAAGCCATACCCAGTCCGTGGAGGCGATAGGAGCGATTCAAAGACGCTGCCTAGCGACAATGTTCAACAAAAAATCGACAATTTGTCGCGACTGCGCCAAAAAACGCATGTGAAGTTGTTTAGCTTCTTTCACCTAGCAATGATATCAAAGAAGACATATTTAACTCGCCCAGACGAATTGCTCAGTTCGACGCCAGATTCGACGCAAATTCCCAACAAAATTTTAATTAATTACGAAATTTTAAACAAAAAACAAAAATTTATGAACCGAAAAAGACACGCATGTTTATATTTCAGAGAAAAACGCAAGATAGCAATTCCATGAATTCTACGGCATGGGTCAGCTTTTTACGACGGTTGGTAACTATAAGGTAAGTCACTATAATAATAGAAAAATAATAATAAACATAACAATAATAATATTAATAATAATAATAATAATGCTAATGATGACGACGATGACGATGACAATGATGCTGCTGCTGCTGCTGATGATGCTGATGCTGAGATGACGACGATGATGATGATGATGAGATGAGTGATGATGATGACGATGATGACGATGATGATAATGATGATGATGATGATGATAAGTATTAATATATATAAACGCTGTCCTAATGAGCTACAACACAATGAGTATATATTGTCCGTGTCTGAATACATTGCAAGTTGACCGTTGAACGTTGCTAACGGAGGTTGCAAGAAAGGCAACGCGATCCATGTGTAGATTGGCTTCTTGCAGTCTCGTCTCAATTCTCTTACTTCTAGACTTCGCTATACGGAATAGCGATACAATGAGGTGGGAGAGAATGAGAGAGATGGAGCGTGACATCGAAAGAGAGAGAGAGAGAGGGGGGGGGAGGGGGGGTAGAGAAGGACAGGAGACAGAAATAGAGTCGGGAAGATAAAGAGAAAGAAGAGAGTGAGAAATACGAGCGGAGAAAGAGAAAGATGAGAATATAGAGAGTAGGCAGAAAGAGAGAGGGGAGGAGAGCTGTCAGAGAGGATAGGAGATGGAAAAGAAAGGGGAAAGATAAAGGCGATATGTTGTAATGGCTGTCGTTAAGTTGTTAGTAATTGCGCACGCATGTCCCATAAAATACATCACTGAAGCAATGATGACATGTATTATCGTTGCCCTATTTATCTTATTTATAATTTATATAC